TCATAATCTCAGTGCCTGCAGAACTTGTGGAGATGGGAGGTAGCAATGGGAAGGAGGATGGCACACACACAAAATAAGAAGGAAGGACTCAGGAAAGGGTTTGCCATGAGGATGACGGAGTGGGGTGAGTCTCAGTAGTTTCTATTTCGCTGTTAGACAATTGAGTCATTAGTCTCGATCCTTCACTGTCCACGTTAACGGTAAGTTAGGGCCTTTGAGAAAGCCCAGCCCACATTGTGGCCTTCAGGTCTGTGTCCAGAAATGAATTTTCTGCCAAGGCAGTGTGGGATAAGCTGTTGCTTGTTTTCATAACCTACCCTCAAACGACAGACCTTAGAGCCCAGAAGACAAAGCAGAGAAAGTTTTGTGTCTTTGTTTTGAGCTCAAGGCCTTTTAATGGCATTAAATGTCTCCCTTGTTCCCTTGTTGTGTAAGAGGGCATGCAGCTCTGAATAGGACCTTTTGTCGTTGGAAATTCCACATTTCCAGTTGCCCTTGACACTATTCTATGCCAAATGACTTCAACAGAGACGTTAAACTTTGTATGTTTAAAAGAAGCCTAGCCTCATTCTTACCTCCCACCCTACATGGCTGCCTAGATGCACAGCCAGCAGCTGGCAGCCCAGCAGTAGGAGCTAGAAGCAAGGGACCAGGGCGGACTTGCCATTCAGCTGTCCCTGTGGCTCCAAGAACAGAAATTGCAGAAGTTCCCAAGGTCAGAGATTGAAGAAGCCCCATTTGCAAGGAAAGACCCTGACACCTTGGAAGATAACATCTAAAGCAGTGGTTCTCCACCGTCCTAATGCTGCGACCCTTTCATACAGCGCCTCATGTCATGGTGACCCCCCCAACCATAACATTTATTTCCGTTGCTACTTCAACACTGTAATTTTGCTACCATTATGAATTGGGTGACCCCTGTGAAAGGGTCGTTCGACCCCCAAAGGGGTCGCGACCCACAGGTTGAGAACCACTGATCTAAAGCATCCTCTGGGTCCTAGTTCCAGAGGCAATATTCATGAGTCAACCTTACATGCAGGTAGACCTAAAATCTATCCTATGCCTGGAGTTACCTATACGGCATGTATCTGCCTCACTTGCCACTCCCACCCTCCTCATCTATATATTTAACAGACTTGTCCATGGAAACTGGGGCACCTCTAGAGCCATATGAATTAGGAATACATCAAGACACAGGGGCTGCTATGTCAATAAGCGAGGAGATAATACCAAAAACATTTAATGAACACATATTATGGAATCAACAATTGAATGTTATATTGCATTTAATCAACATAACAACACAACAAGGCCATCTTCATTGAACAGATGTAGAGCTGAAGATGAGAAACTTTGAGGATTTTCCCAGGGTTTTCTAGCTATTCTATGTAGAGATGAGATTAAAGCCCAGGTCTATTTAATTCCGATATGAATTTGTTTTTAGAGTATGTTTATTTTGAATTATAGATTCCTCTGTCACTGAATTCAATGATTAATAAAC